AGAAGTATAGCCAGAATTTTCTTTAGAAGTGAGAATGATGAGATGTCAGAAGGGATCAGTCCCTGGAGAAGGACATGATGTTTGGTAAAATGGAGGGTCAACAAAAAAGAGAAAGACCCCTGATGAGCTGGACTGACAAAGTAGTAGCAACAATGGGCTCAAACATAACAACAATTCTGAGTATGGCACCGGACTGGGCAGTGTTTCATTCTGTTGTGCTACAAGTCAGAACTGATTTGACAGCACCTAACAACAACTATAAAAAGGGAGTCCTGGTGGCGCTGTAGGATAAGCACTGGTCTGCTAACCACAGAGATGCAGTTCAAACACACAAGTGGCTCTGCAGAAGAAAGCAGAGGCTGTGTGCGCCTGAAAAGATTCAGTCTGGGACACCCTACATAGGGCAGCTATGAGTCAGAACTGACATAATGACCGTGGGTTTGCGAATGTTGTTGTTAGGTGCCATTGAGATGGTTCTAACTCATCACGACCCTCTGCACAACATAACAACTGCCCAGTCCTGTGTCTTTTTTCACAATTATTGTAATTGTCTGAGCTCATTGTTGCTTCCACTATGTCAATCCATTTTGTTACGGATCTTCCTCTTTTTCACTGTCTCAAGCATGATGTCCTTCTCTAGAGATTGGTCCTTCTTGACAACACGTCCAAAGTACAAGAGTCGAAGTCTGATCATCTTGGCTTCTAAGGAGCATTCTGGTTATACCTCTTCCATCAGATTTGTTTGTTCTTCTGGTGGTCCATGGCACTTTCAGTATTCTTCGCTAACACCATAATTCAAATGTACTGATTCTTCTACGTTGTTGTTGTTGCTGTTATGTGCCATGGAGTCGATTCCAATTCATAGCGACCCTGCACAGGGTTTCCAAGGCTGTAAATCTTTACAAGAGCAGAAAGCTTCATCTTTCTCCTGTGGGACAGCTGGCAGTTTCAAACTGCTGACCCTAAGGTTCATAGCCCGATTTGTAACCACTCCGCTACCAGAGACTCTTCTATAGTCTTCCTTAATTACTGTCCAATTTTTGCATGCCATGAGGCAACTGAAAATACCATGGCTTAGGTCAGGCACACCTTAGACATCAAAGTCACATCTTTGTTCTTTAACACTTTAAAGAGGTATTTTGCAGCAGATTTTCCTAATATTTCATTAATTTTATTGACTGCTGCTTATGAATAGCAGTTTTTGATATGCTGTTACTGTTAACTGCTACCTAGTCAGTTACAACTCACAGCGACTCTGTGTAGGGTTTCCCAGGCTGTACATTTTTGTGGGAGCAGAAAGCCTTCTTTTCTTCCACAGAGACAGCAATTGGTGGGCTCAAACCACTGACATTATGGTTCACAGTCTAGTGCTTATTGTACAGAGCCACAGCGCTCCTGAGTTTTGGTATACAAATATGAAAACAGAAAAGGAAGCTCTGTAAAAAAGCAGTATCTTAGCTGTTGGAGTTAAGTGCTGTCAAGATGGTGCCAACTTACAGCGACCTGTATAAGGTTTCTGAGGAGCAGTTGGTGAGTTTGGCCTTCTGACCTTGCAGTTACTGGTCCAGTGCTTATCCTACAGTGCCACACCAGGACCCTGATATATGTGAAAGGGGGAAGAAATAATAAAATGCATTTGTCTTTTTTAGTATTTGAGGAGAATAACTCTAAAGCAACTAAGGTGCTTACCTGTATGGGAGTGAGGCACAGAGCACATGTTGTTGCTGTTGTTGTTGTTGTTGTTGTTGTCAGGTGCCATCAAGTTGGCACAGACTCATAGTGACCCCATGCACAGCAGAACGAAACAATGTCCGATCCTGGGCCAACCTCACTACCGCTGCCACACTTGACACCAT